CTTGTAGCCAAAATTTTATCCCACATTATAAGTAAATAAAATAATTCTACTGCTTATCCTATTTATATTACGCTGTGGCTCCCGTCCCGAGGCGGGACTTAAGTTCAGTCCCGATTGACGTCATAATTTTAAGATTTGTTATGTTATAATAAAATAATAATAATAAATTGTACCTGTATACATGTTAAGGGCACTTTAGTTACGTCATAAAACCAAACCAACCCAAACTCAACAACACAACCCAACCGACCCCGCCCCATTGGCCCCCCCCCCGCCCCATTGAGCAAAAAACCCAACTAAAATGGGCAAATTTATGTTACGATAAAAATAAAACACTTTTTAACAAAGAAACAACAAATTTATAAATTAAAAAAAATAAAAAAAGTTTGACTTCTAGTGGGATCGAACCCGGTACCTCTCGCATGCCAAGCGACCGCCCTACCATCTAAGCCATCGAGCTTGACACAAATTATAAAATCTCGGGGAATAACAACCGATTTACAGTGTGTGACGTCAATCGGGACTGAACTTAAGTCCCGCCTCGGGACGGGAGCCACATCGTTTATATTACGCCCTTAAAAAAAATTGTATATGTTATTTGGAGTAAAAGCTCTTTTCGTGGTGAGTACAGAGATTGACGGCCGAAGCGTAGCTGAGGCAGGCAATCTCTGTACTCACCACAAAAAGAGTCACTTCTACTCCTTATGACATAATCTACTATTTAACGATTTTAATAAAATTTCCAAACATTGTAGCTTAATTCATTTACTTTATTCTGTTAAACCTTCAACGCAATCAAATAAAAAAAATTAAAATGACACAAACGCGCGTGTAAAAATTTACATTTATTTTTGCTTGTACGACTTAAGTTGTAGGAATTCCTAAGAAAATCCTGTGATCAAAAGTAAAAACAGTTTTCATGCCACACGAACTCTGGTAGGTAATCATTACAAAAATGCATGTATTTTGTTTTAACCCTCAATTATCTTATGATTAGGTCAAGTTAATTTTTGCCAACAATTTTTTGGTATTACAGTCAACTTACTACAAGTTATTTTGTCATCTGAGATGTTGAACTATTTGAGTTAGAGGGAGTTCAACTTGAAGAAAGTAATGAACATTATGTAAGTACATTAGGGTGGAACTTAAAAACATAAATAGAATTTTGTTTTATATATATTGAAGTGTAATAGTGAAAAGTATTTTCCTTTTTACTTTCTAAAGCATATATTATCAGAAAATTAAATCTACAACATGATTTTCCGGTGCCGCTGAGACACCAAAAATAAAACATTTTTTTTACTTATTGGTTTTATAGTCTTTCTTTGTATTAAACACTGGCATTATATTACGGGACACTAATTTTGCCAAGATGAAACCATCTCTAGCTTCTGCTCCTGACACAGCTGCAGCAGCTTCAGTGACAATTTTCACACATCGTTCCACTGACTGAGAATGACAAGGGAAACGTGGGAAATCAATAACAGGTGTCTCTCCTGTTTTAACCATGTTGTTTATTTCATCGTTTGTCAAATTAGACAACACAGGAGGTTCCGTTAGTTGACAATAGCTCCAATCAATCAATTCTACGTAGTCAGCTGCTTTAAAGTTGATTGTAGGAACTTCGAACTGTCGAACAGTTTTGGTTTGTGGTTTGGACCTTGCCTTCATAATTCGTCTAAGACCAAGTTCTCTAATATGTCTGCGAGGGTCGGTAAGCATGGCCAGGAGGATATTTTCATGGTGCCCAAAAAATGAATTCCGCTGAAGAACTGGATCAATGATCTTTAGATGCTCCTCCCCGAGATATCTAGAATAACTTATTAACTGCCACAAGTGTTTAGATCCATCCTTGCAAGAGGGTTTCATTTTTATGATAAACCACATGGGAGCATAAACTTTAGCAACATAATTTGCAACAACTTTTAAATTATTGCATGGATTTTCACAAGACACATAAAAACGCAATATTCTACTGGCAGTCGTCAACCAACGGGAATGTGCCATTTTTCCAGGGTTTCTCTTGGCAAGGTCTGCTGGAAATACTCCGCTTGACACTGCTTAAGATATTTCATATAAGTACTTTTGATCTGTACTAAGATCTTTAAAGTCAACTTCTGATAAATGCGTTTTAATTCTTTCATATCGTACAACCTCCATCTCCTCACAGTGTTCAAGCTGATTTTCTATTGGGCCAACAAATCCTCTAGGACCTGTAGTAGTTCCATCTAATTGTTGAAATAAGTGTCTTAATGGGAGCTCATTGGCATGAAGTAAGCAAATTAGCCATTGTAAAGGTTTTCTTAGCCGGGATTCAAGTATTCTAATGATTCCACCTTTGCGTCCTGTGTTAACTACAGTTCCGTCGCTTCCAATTGCCTTTAAATTTAGAGTAGCAATGTTATTGCTTCGTAGATACTCTAAAATTGCACTTGCAGTACAGTCAGAAGACGAAGACTTTGGGGATATATGGCCAATATACTTTGTACCTGGTTCCTGTACTAATACGACATGTTCCTCTTTGATTATTTTTCGATAGTTTTTCTTCCCCTTCTTTTGGTGACTCATTGTTTGGTCTTTTCGTCCGTCGAAATACAATCCTTCCAAAATTAAACTTTGTCTTCTTTCACCATCTTTCAGCTTATTTCGTCTCTTTTGTCTTTGCCTTCTGAAAGTCATCCTGTCAATAACATTTTCTATGTTTTCATTAGAAATAAGGCCCATGTCCTCTAATGTAGCACTCGCTATGATGGCTGCCCCTCTGTCAGATACACCCGTTCTTTCACATGCCAACGCAAGTGAAGGTAGATGATACCTTTTTGTTCGAGTTTTTCTTAAACCATTTGTAGCTGATGTCGGCGGTTGGTTGTTATAATCGAAATCATACTCTGAACTTAAATCATGTTCCTGAAAATACACACTTTGGTCATCATTTTCATCACATGATGTTTCTTCTGACATCTTTTCTTCTTCACAACTTTTTACAAGACTCTTTTGTTTTCTTAAAGTCTCCGTCTCTATTCTTTGGGCTATTCGCTCATTTTTTCTTGTTCTTTCCTTATCTATTCCACTCATTGTCATCCTTCTTTCATTTCTCTGATCCATAAGAAATTCTCGTTCTTCTTTTGGAACTCGGATCGTTCTAATGCAATGACATAAGACAAAATCCTTACATTTGCAGGCACTTATGTCGAAAATTTTTTTCGCAGATTCCCGAAATTTGTTTAATTTAATTTTAAAAGCAGTATTACCCTTTTTAGACTTGGTACACTTCTTCAAATTTCTACATTTATCGTGGTAGTCCTTAAGCATTTTCATAATACGGTTGTGGGAAACTACTGGAATAGAGGTTTGTTGCCAAATTTCTCTTAAAGTTTCCACAATTACTGGTGAAATTTCTGCAACAGTAGGATTACGATTCCAATTTGACGATTTCAAGTCAATATGAATCCACAAGTAATACTTAATTACATCCTCATAGGTAGGTAAAACACGATGGTCTTTTTTTAATGACTTTGGCTCACCAAATACAGGACATTTCACCGCACTTCTTGTTTTTGGCACTTTGGCAGCCATTATTTAAGCTTATAAGTTATAAGATATAACTTATAACCATATACACAATCACAATAGGTATAAAACTGCTTAACTTGATCAATACGTGACAGATTTAAACTGTCAATGACAGTCTGTCACATTTGTATTATTGTCATTTTATTGTCTGGGATGCATTATTATGCAAAAAGTTATTTATTGGGCGTCTTAAAAATTATATTCCCCATTGACTATATTTTAAATTTCAGAAGCCTAGCGGCACCGGTAAATGTTAATAAAAAAATTAAAAAAAAATATTGTTGGCATTAAATTTAAAAAAGGAAAATAAATTTTGCTATTAGGACAAAAATTTCAAAATTTGGGTTTTAAGTTCCACCCTAAAGTACATATTTAAAAGTACCTACATAATTAAAATAAGTTAAATAAGTATTCATACATGCAGGGTAGGAAAATGGAAAGTTTCCACTCCTGCAAACATCTAATTATTTTCAATCTCACACCAACCCCTAAGCAGGGTGATGGTTACCCATACAATTTGTAAAGGGAAGAGGGGTCCAGTGATAGCTTATTTTGAGAAAAATTTTATTTTTATCTTAAATATAAATTTTTACACGCGCGGTTGTTTTGAGTGCCATAGTGCCAATTTTTATTTGATTTCGTTTTTAACGCGATAAAGTAGATAAATAATGCTACCTACACAATTTAGTAAATTTCATTAAAATCGGACAAAAATTATTCGCGTAACGGCACTTTGAACAAAAAAGCGATTTTAAATAGTTAAAAATAGTTAGTAGGACTTTATGAACGCATGTCATTTATTTTTTTTTAGTTTAATTAGGAATCATACATGATCAATGATCCTTGGTTAAAGTATTTGAATAAAAATATATAAAGATATATAAATTTGAATGTTTGCATATCGAAAAAAAACATTTTTTTCACATAATCTCAAAAACAAAGGCTAATTGAGAAAACTAATGGTAATTTTTGGAATCAGCGCATCTAAATTAACCTAGGAAAGTTGTTGGCGCCCTGTGGCAAACAATTTTTTTTATTTTGTCAACCAGTATAATTTGTTTAGATAGGCTTTTAAATTATGTACATCTTATAAATATTTAAACAAATATTTTAAGCAGTTCAAAACAATATATGTATTGTATATAAATTTATCAATTTCACAATATTATCTATTTATGGATTTAAACAATTTATTAATTAAAGTAAAACAGTTATAGATAATTGTAATTATATATTATTTTATTAGGTTTGATGACAAAATTAAATGAAAAATAAACACAAGATTATGGATTTTTATATTTATTTTTTATTCATAAAATAACAATTATTTACTTACGCGTAATAGTGTATAAAATATATAAAATATAACAATTACTTAAAAATACCATTAAATTGCCCACATGTACCATGTTAATAGAATAACCATTTTACAATTTTGAACGTAAATCTGTGATCTTTTTGGCGGCAGTGCGTTGAAGCTCTGTCAGTTTCATAGCCAGTCCCATGTTTCCTTGAATCTTTACTTTTCCCTGGAAGAATGCTTTTTGAGGATTAATTTTTCCGGTAATTAAATCGACAACATCTTCATCTTTTACAATAAAAGTAACGTCAGGTTTGGTTTTTGAGTTAAATTCAACTGAGCCCTTTCCAGTTTTAGCATTTATCACCCAGAATCCTTCATCTCCATTCTTTTTGGTTACTCTAAATCCATAAATTCCCCTGTGTTTTTCAATTAGCTTATCCTCATCATCTTGCATAGCTTGTTCAAGTATTTTCAAGTAAGGTGTCACTATGAAACCTTCAGGACTTGAGACAGCTGCGGTTTTTCTCATCGCCAGTTGTTTGTTTTGGTATTGGGGGAAGCCATGTTGGTACAGTGCTACCACCACAGCACCTCCAAGCCCTATGTTGTGTTGCAGTGCTAACTTGGCACCAGGCACCTGTCTTTTGTCAGCTTGACCTCTTAACTGCCATGTTAATTCAGCACACTGAGCCAAACCAGTTGCCCCAAGTGGATGTCCCTTGGAAATTAGGCCTCCACTGGGATTAATTACGTACTTTCCGCCATATGTATTGTCTCCACTGTCAATTAAAGCACCTGCACCACCTGGTTGACACAAACCGAGAGCTTCATAGGTAATTAATTCGTTGGCTGAGAAGCAATCGTGCAACTCTACAACTTGAACATCGCTGGGGTTTTTGTTGGCTTTCCTGAAAAGTTGGTCAGCTGCGCGTTTGGTCATATCATAACCAACCAATTTCATGTGACTGTCAGCAAATGATGAAGGGGTGTCTGTGGCCATTTCCATTCCAATAATTTCAATTGCTTGACTTTCCAGGCCATGACTCCTCACAAAACTTTCTGAAGCTAAAATGGCAGCTGCTGACCCATCACTGGTGGGGCAACATTGAAGCTTTGTCAATGGCCCAAAAACTTGGGGAGATTTTTTGATTTGTTCAAGAGTGTATTCATCTCTGAATTGTGAATAGGGGTTGTTGACAGAGTGCTTGTGATTTTTATAAGCAATTTTGGCAAAATGCTCGGGTTTTGTGCCATATTTTTTCATATGCTCAATACCAGCATTACCAAACATTTGTGCAGTTATGGGACTTTCGTTCATTCCAGACAACTCACACATAATTTCTACATGTTTTTCCATTGGGTTTGATCTGTCCATGAACTTTGAAGTTAAGCTGCCTCTTTCCATTTTTTCAAAACCCACAGCCAAGGCACAACTTACTTTCCCAGATTCCACCATCTCTTTGGCAAGCATAAGGGCACTTGATCCAGTTGAGCAGTTGTTATTAACATTAAAAATTGGAATGCCAATCATGCCCACCTCGTAGATTGCCCTTTGGCCGGAAGTTGAATCTCCATATACATATCCTGCAGTGGCCAGTTCAACTTCACTCAATTTAACTCGTGCATCCTGCAATGCTTTTGTGATAGCTTCTTTGGCAAAATCTGGATAATCACCCTCACCCTTTCCAGGCTTTTCAAACTTGGTCATTCCAACACCAACCACAAATACACGGCCCATTTTTGTTTTTTATTTGTAACTTCTAAAAGGGAAAGTTTTATAACAGTTTTAACAATTAGGTTATAATTCCATTTTACCTGGTGAATCAAATGACGATGAGCAAATACTGCAAATTTGTTTGTGTGCTAAACAAAATGCTCTTCTGATAACGTTCTCAACAACGCTATAAAGTTCCCACTTGAGTGTTGTTAGACTTTGACTTGTTACTTGACATCGTCGAACACATCACACGGTTCGTTGTTTCAAGTGGTGTTCCAAGCACACAAAATCCAGTATAATGAATGAATATAGAAAGGATTACTATGCATTTTAATGTATTTTTAAATGATAGCTAATAAAATAAAATGTATCCTTTGAAAGTTGTCCCTTCAATTATCAAAAGCAAAGTTTATGACCCTACACTGAGAGCCGTTACGGCTTAGCCGTATTTTCTTGAGTTTATAATTATTTAACATACCTATTCCAACCATATACCTAGTAAACGACATTATATTTTAATCCACTTTATCCTTATTTTCCCTTTTGGCACGGTGATAAACATTTTCCCAGGAGTTTTCCAGGTTGTATTTGTACAACAAGGCACAAAACAATATTTCCAACCAATTTTTGGTTTCGCGTTTTCCATGTTAAACATAAACTTTATCGGTGTTTATTATTTGTTGCCATCTTGATTTCTGACACTGGTGTAGGTTTATGACGTCATGCAATATGGCGGGAGTTCGGGAACGTTTGAAAAGTACCTTTTTTTCAATTTGATATTTTGGGGCCGGGTTGAACTTTTGGAATATAAAAAAAAAATCGCAATGATTAGATCTAGATTACATTAAAAAGGTTTTTAGGGATTTTCATTTTTGATGCAATTACTCTATTGACATTTAAATGAAAAATACAAGGAAAGTTTCCAAGGAATGTTTCCAAGGAATGTTTCCGGTAGCTTTAAAGAAACTTTCAAAATGAAAATAAATTCCCAATTAGAAACTTTCCAAATCGGAAAGTTTCCTTAAAATGGAAACTTTCCGATTCCCATCTCTAAAAAAAATACTAGGAACAACACTTTATGAGAGCTCACTGACCGCTTTTACGATTTCTCCGTTTAGCAGTGTTGCCACAAAACGATTATCCTTTGCGTCTATGAAAAATATAAATTAAAACATTTTAATTACAAATATCGTCAACAGCAATCATTGAGAGAGAAAACTTGAAATAAAGTGCATTTGACAACCTTGCACTATTACTGCAATGCAGGTATCTGTGATATTTAACGTTTCGATTTTATAAGTTTGGAGTGTTTTTTTATAGATGGCACCATTTACCAAGCAAGCAAAAAATATCTGGCGCGTTTGAAATTTTGTTAACTACTTAATTAACGGTTGGTTCAATACGAACATTACTTTAAAAGAGGGTACTCTTATACAGGGTATGGAAAAAGGAAGTAACCCGTAGTAAACCAAAATATAATAGGAAATTTAAAAAAAAAAATTTTTATTTCAATATTGATAATAAAATTAAACACCAATTATAATAATTGCTTTTAAACGCCCCGGGGCCAATTTCTTCCAGGTCCCAACATTTTTTTATTTTAAAATGCAGTGTATGATGAGTTGTCATCACTTGGGGATGCGATATTTCACGCCAAAGTAAACAAGTTGTTCCTCTGTTACTTTTATAGTGCAGTGATGCTTTGTTTTAATAAAAAAAATTGAAAATTACTTAATTCTTAGGCATTTGTTTGCAGTGCCGTTGCTAGGTGAACTCTCCCTTATAAAAGATACACAATTTTGCATGATAGGGCAAGTGAAACCTAATTTGAAAGATCTTGCTAGAATAAGTATAATGAAAAAGATAGTCAAATTCTATTAATTTGTTTTCGACATATTTAAAATTGAAGTTGCAAAATCAAACTTCGTTTCTTATAAAAAAAAAAGTACAGATAAGGAATTGGGGGTGGGCACTGCAGTTTTAAGGGTGGGCAAATGACCACATAGGCCCACCTGTAGCCACGGCCCTGTTTGTGTAACACATTAGATTCTTATGTACTATACTCAAAAAGAATAAATACAGGAGAAGTAACTTGCTATGTGCCCGCCCGTACACCAAAAAACGTACGCTGTCAGCATTGGATGACAGCTAAGCACGGTGAAGTCTTCCCTGCGCACGCTATTTGGCGTAACATAACGTTTCTTAAAACACGGCCTACATATCGTTGGCAACAATTAAGCCGACAGTTGACAGCAGTTGTGTATGATCCCCTTAATGCTACACTGCCGTGCTTAATGAAAACGCCGTAACCAACAATTTTGAGATTTTTGTTTTACGGCATTTTCTACTAGAACAATTCATCCTGCGTCTATCCCCTGTACTCAAAAAACCGTATCTATATTTCATATATATTTTTGAGTACCGTGGATAGACGCAGGATGAATTTTTCTAGTAGAAAATGCCGTAAAACAAAAATCTCAAAATTGTTGGTTACGGCGTTTTCATTAAGCACGGCAGTACAAGTAGACTCAAAATTATATTAATCTAGTTCTATGTAATTTACTTAAAGTTTTCTAATTGATGCAACAACTAAATATAACTCTAGTTCCCTTCAGTGCAAAGTTAATATTTCTGCAAAAAATAGATTTCTATAAAGTTATGTTTAGTTTTTCCATTGAAGTACCTACGTAAATAACATCAAATTGGATTTGTCAAATTTCGAGTTAACGTAATTTTATTGATAGACTGTTACTTTATGGCGTTTCAGTCACGGGCTGAAGCTTATTATAAATTGGGAAAAAGTGAGGTTAAATCTAGTTGACAGATGTCAAATGTTTAACAAATAAAATTGGCTTTAAATTCTTATTTCTGTTCGTCGTAGATAAAGTATAGTATGCAACTCGTTTTATAAACTTCTCTAGACACTCGTTTTTATTAAACACTCGCTCGCAAGCTTCACTCGTGCCAAATAAAACTCGTAACTAAAATGACTTTAATAAAACGATACATAATATACTATTAGCATATATAATACCCATACCTATACAGGGTGGTCCAGGATTAATCTGAAAAATTTTAATGATCGATAGAGCCTGAAAAAACAATAAAAACAAACCCAAAAACATTTTTTAAAAATACACACTAACACACTAATAGCCCTTCAAAGGCAAAAAATCGTTTTTTTTAATAACTTCTGCTCAAATTTTGTGTACCTAGGTACCCAGCGGCGGATATTTTGTGGGGGTTTCCCCTTTTTACCCCCATATTTCGACACCACTGGATTTTATTGCAAAATCATCAGATTTCTTATTCAATTTAGAAGCAAAACTTTTGTGTTAAATTTTCATAAGATAATTGTTTTCGGAGACTTTAAAATTTCAAAAACACCGAGTACACGGAATTTTATCATATTTTATTTTAAATCGGTAACTTGGTAACAATTATGCCACGTTATCAGTTTATAAAATATTATAAAAATAAACTAGCGTCCAGGAGTCATCGTGCAGTTGTTACTGATCCCGTCATATTTTTAGGTTGTTTTATTATAACGTTGATTGAGGATTACAATCAACGTCTGTAATTAATAATTTAATTGTATTATAATACAAAATCAAACCAACCCAAAAACCACCCTATTGAAAGTGATTATTCCATAATTTCATTGGTAAATTTTTATTGGCCCAATACAATCGTTCAGAAAAAAAATAATTTTTTATTGCTAAAATAATAACAAAAGTTCCGTGTACACAGTGTTTTTGAAATTTTAAACTGAAATATCTCCGTTGATCTGATAAAAAATAAACATAAATGTTTTGCTTTTAGATTGAAAAAGGATAAAAATAAATCTGATGATTTTCTAATAAAATCCAGTGGCGTCGAAAATATGAGGGTAAAAAGGGGAAACCCCTCCCAAAATCTCCCCCACTGGGCCTTTTGTAGAAAATTTTCATTATATTATCGACGGAAGCTAAACCTACACAAAATTTGAGAAGAATCGGTTTAATGGTTTAAAAATTATTTTGAAGGACTATATCTCCGTTAGTATGCATTTTTGAAAAATGTTTTTGGGTTTGTTTTTATTGTTTTTTCAGGCTCTATCGATCATTAAAATTTTTCAGATTAATCCTGGACCACCCTGTATAATATTTATATTTTTTATTTAACTGAAAGTTATTTAACTGCGGTATTTTTTTTATTATTGCGATAAAAAGACTGTCAGTTTTTTTATAATATATATTATAATATAATATATAATATTATTATCTACGTTTTATTTAAATATTTTTAAATATATGTACATATGTATAATATACATTGTATATGCATGGTTTAATAAATTTTAAAATTTGTATTTCCCGCCCATTTTAAACAAATGTTGGTACAATAATTCCCTAGAAACTGGTACACATATTGTTTTGCTTGTAACAACACTGTGGGTATACAGTGTGTCCCCAGATAAGTAAAACGACTCTTGGAAAAGGTAAACAATAATTGTTCAATAATCAAAACAATAATCAAGAATTATTCTTTATTTAAATTTTCATTTTTTGGGGTTTAGCACTGCTAGGTCTAAGACTAATTTTTAACGTGAACTTATGTTTTGAAAAATCAAAGATGGCTTGGAAATTTTCAAAAAACCTATTTTTCTCCAGAGTATTTGAGGATTTGTGGCGAAACGCGCAGGAACGGCATTCCACTACCTTATGAAAAAAAATATTAAGAAAGTTAAAACTGTTTTTATTATTACCTGTTATTAAATAAAATAAAAGTTTTTATATAACCAAACCTTCCGGGGGAGGTTACAGTTCCGGCACCTATATTTTTAGAAATCGGGCACTGCCAAAGGTTATTAAAAAAAAGTTGTTTAGAATCATCATCTAGGCCGTTTTTTATGTTTAACATCCCCTATCTTGAAAACGAAGCATTTTCGGACCTACGTTTACATGTACTTTTTTTCCGCCATTTTTGGGACACCTTCTATATAAAACAAAAACCAAAGAAGGGAGTTGTTTCAAAGGTTT